TGATCCAAATTTCTTTCAACGAAAAACTAATCCTGTCTGAAAATGGGTTTTCTGATGTTTTAAGTGGAATAAAATCTGAAATAGAAATCTTGTTAAATATATTGAAAAAACGTTCATTTCTTCTCGATGATGCGGTGTTTAAAAACATGTTTTTCAGTTTTTTCTTTATAATAAAAGAGAAACTTCAACTGTCAGCTGGACACAATTAGACTTAAAACTTTTACTTTTCAAACCTAACCGGTTTAACTCAAGTCCTTTTTCATATTTTTTTTCCAGCAGTACGCACCATTTAGCTCTGAATTGTTTCTGTTTTTCTCTCCATCTTCTTCAGTGTATACACAGGCTGCGACATTGACCGCCTAACTCCATCACCGGGTGACTCTCCGCGCTCACAGATCGTGCCGGGTGCGAGATACGCCATGCCCAGCTCTTTCCTGCAGGACCAATTTGTCAGCACTTATGCCAAATCTCGCTTTCACCCTGGCGTGGGGACTGGTCCTGGCACGGAGCGCAGCGTCCCACTCGGCAACAGCTTGCTGTCCCCGCAGCAAAGCGAAGAGCCCACTGTTGCCACCCCCCCGCAGCGTTGGTTTGTCACCCCTGCCAACAACCGACTGGACTTTGCCGCCTCGGCATACGACGCGGCCGATTTCGCCGGTAACGCGGCCACCTTGCTGTCCTACGCAGCGGCCGGAGTAAAGGCTCTCCCCCTTCCGACAGCGGGCTGCTCCAACCGGCCCCTTGGCTACTACGCAGACCCGTCTGGCTGGGGAGGACGCACGCCGCCGCAGTACTGCGGCGTAAACAGCAAACCCAGCTCGGTCTTTTCCTGCTGGCCCACCAACTCCCTCGGAGGCAGAGCGGGCACCAACTACCTGTCGGAGGAGGGAGACTCCATCGCCACGGAAAGGTCGCCCATCGGTGGCTCGGAAGAGACCAAACCCAAAGACATCACCTCAGAGTCCAGCTGGATAGAGACGCCGTCGTCGATTAAATCAATCGACTCGAGCGATTCTGGGATCTTTGAGCAGACCAAGAGGAGAAGGATCTCACCCTCTGCCACCCCGGTCTCAGAGACAGTGTCCCCATTAAAATCCGAGCTGCTGGCACCAAGAGAGTGCGAGAAGAACTGTACAAAGGACATTGGTTACTACAGTTTTTATCCTCACAGTTAGAGAATCTATCTATCTATCTATCTATCTATCTATCTATCTATCTATCTATCTATCTATCTATCTATCTATCTATCTATCTATCTATCTATCTATC